CAATCACTTATACCCATTACAATATCAATTAATATTGGGTGAACAATTAATCATACCCATTACACTATCAATTAAGACTGGGTGAACAATCACTTATACCAATTACACTATCAATTAAGACTGTGTGAACAATCACGTATACCAATTACACTATCAATTAAGACTGTGTGAACAATCACTTATACCCATTACACTATCAATTAAGACTTCATGAATAATTACTTATACCCATTACACTACCATTTAAGACTGGGTGAACAATCACTTATACCCATTACACTTTCAATTAAGACTCAATAATCAATCATTTATTTCAATTACACTATTGAGATATTGTAATGAAACATTTTAACATTGAAATTCAGCTTTATGAGTGCTCAGAAAAATATTACAAATATTCAGATGGCATCAAATATTTTTATTTGAAGCCTTGAGATTATTATTATCCCCCATAAATATATTTTACAATTTCAATGTCTTAATTCTAGATAAGGTTAGGGATTCAATAAAATTATTGCATTATCATGATTTTATTGATGTTATTGGTGGACATTACACACTTACAAGATATTCAGATATCCCAAAACAGGTTTCACCAAGATACACAGATAAAGAAAGGCCTTAAACGCTAGGTAAATATGTAAAATTTTGAATGGATTTTTATGTTTATCTCATCTATATATGCATCTGTATGGACAGTTTGTATATAATTCTTTTTCTAGGTGTTTGATATGAATGCCTCATTTTATTGAACAATAAATGACTTAGTAGCTTCAACAACAGAATGGAATTTCATAACTGCAAAAGTTCATTACAGCAATGTGCAGCATTGGTCAATTCTTAAAAGCAGAACCCGTAATTTTTTCGTAAAATCTGACGAAAGTGTATTAAATATGTGAAAATGTAAGATAGCTTAGTGCAGAAATTAACAGTGTTTCATTTGAAATTACATTTGTAGTACTCTGAACCGCGATGGTCACGCTGAAGTGCAATTGAGAGGCTAACTTGATTATAGTTACGTGGAGGTGCGCTGGTCTAATTGTGACATTGACTTTGATAGTTATGATGAAATGGCATGGTGTCTTCTTGCTAAAATGCGATGGTCATAAGTCAGAACCTCATAAAAAGTTGTGGTGACCCTGTAGCAGGTGTGCTAGCCTCACATTTGGAAGATCAGATTTGATTTCTGGTCAGTCAAACCCAAGACTTTTAAATTTAAATTTGCCAATTCTCCGCTTATCACGCAGTAGTATGGATCCCAAAAACATACTACAAATAAGTATAATGGGTTCGAGTGGGATGACGTGTCTTTATATGGGCTGCTACTTAAAATAAAATTAGGCTCAGATTACCAGTTTTGAGACAAAGCAGGATTCAAGAATAAAACAAAAAACAATATGTAAGTAACGAAAACACCAACCTTTGTAATTTTGGGAATAACTACATATCTTAGCATTTTTGAATTTTTACAAAATAAAAATATTATCAATTCCTAAGTGTTATTCATCATGCATTCTTATATCACATTAGCACATAACTTGTGGCATGGACCATCCCACTTTAGGGAAAGGACCACCATACTTCAGTGCAGACCATCGCACACCAGCTTCCTACACATTTACACATGAAGTGTTTAAAAATGAAAGAATTGATTGGATTCCATTAGGAAGATTGTGAAAGTTCAACAACAATTCTCCTTGAAGAAGAGGAAATAATTGAAGCAATTAAAAGAAGAACTCCAGAAATTCATCTAGTGAATTCTTGGAAAGCCAGTACATTGCAACGGCCTGTTCAATGAGATGTTGCTAAAGAAGGACCAAACAAAGAAGTTGATGAGACATTACCATGAAAACATTTTGGGGGAAGATATGATACATGGCAGATAGACTCTCACACAGACATAATCGCTCATTTTGCAGCGAACATGTTAACTTTTCAAGACACTGAAATCAGAAAAACGTGAGTAAGGCCAATGTTAACAAAGAAGCAAAGTAAAATGCACAGAAAAACAAAGTTGACAATGATAAAAACATTATTGACAGTGAATGTAAAATGTCTTATAAGGGGCTTAAGGATATCAAATGATAATCAAGAACTGATTATTGACTACTAAGTCGACACAAATGACAATGCAGAAAACAAAGCCTTTCTTGGTGAACTGGAGAAAATGTGCAAAGAGCCCAAGAAATTTGGAGACAAAATAGATGATCATATGGAAAATTTAGTTGACCAGGCAATCAACAAGCCATTAAAAATAAATGTGGATAGTGTCCACAAGTGGACACAGATGATGCCCCCGCTTGCATATCATATAGTTATAAAGGGACATAACTGAAGAACGGTAAAAGTGACACTACCCAAATTTGAACTTGATCTGAGTTTTGTGGTAATAAGCATTGTGTGTAAGTCTCATAACATTTGGTTGAGGCTAACTTAAGTAGAGAACAGAAACTAAAAATTCAGCAATTTTTCTATTTGTAATGACGCATAACTCTAGAACGGTTGTGTATAAGTTTTACAACATTTGGTTGAGACAAACTAAAAAATTCAGCAATTTTTATGTTTATAATGGGACATAACTCTAGAATGGTAAAAGTGTTGCCACCTAATTTCGTACTTAATCTGTATTATGTAGTAATTAGCATTGTGTATAAGTTTCATAACATTTGGTTGAGGCCAACTCAAGTTAGAGAACTGAAACAAAAAAAATGTACTTGATCTTTACTGAGTTTTGTTGGAATAAATATTGTGTATAGGTTTCACAATGTTTGGCTGGGGAAAACTTCAGTTACAGAATGGAAACTAAAAAATTTTGCAATCTTTCTATTTATAAAGGGGCATAACTCAATAATGGTTAAAGTGACACTACCCAAATTCAACTTGATCTGTGTTTTATCAGTGGTAGTCAAAATTAAACATTGCATTGTATAAAGCATTGATTGTAGTTGATTCAACTATAATCATGGTCAAAGGAAGATAACTCCAATTTTAAAAATATATTATATAAACTTGATATTTAGAAGAAAATAAAAATTTTGCAATTTTTCCTTTTATAAAGGGGCATAACTCTAGATCGGTTAAAGTGACACCACCCAAATTCAAACTTGATCTGTGTTTTGTGGTAATAAGCATTGTGTATAAGTTTCATAACATTTGGTTGAGGCAAACTTAAGTTAGAGAACGGAAACCAAAAATTTTGCAATATTTCCTTTTATAAAGGGGCATAACTCTAGATCGGTTAAAGTGACGCCACCAAAATTCAAACTTGATCTGTGTTTTGTGGTAATAAGCATTGTGTATAAGTTTCATAACATTTGGTTGAGGCAAACTCAAGTTAGAGAACGGAAACCAATTTCGGGACGTACGGACAGACGTACGTATGTACGTACGTACGTACAGACGGACAAGGGTAAAACTTAATGCCCCCTCCAGTACGGCGGGGGCATAAAAAGAGACATTAACAAATCTTGATGATACTTACTTAGTCCCAGAGACCTGTAAACACTCACAATTCCAAAAAGTCTATCTTGAGAGGGTTTAAAAGTAAAAAAACAAAAACACCTAGATGTGCTATTACAAAAAGTGCTGTTTTGAAACACATGACAACAACTTGATGTCATGAAAACTGTAGTTGATATCGATGAAGTTAGAAACTTGACTAAAGACATGCTCAAAATACTAAAACATGTAATTTACACTGCAAATAGAAAGAGGAAGATACTGAACACTCCAGAGGTTCCTTATAGATATAAAAGAGTCACAGATGTTGACACTCCTGTCACAGAATATCTGATCCTTATTAATACAAAAAGAATAATAAAGAAAGTCATGACAGATTGAATTTTGTTTTAGAAAATTAACAAAAAATATTGGTAACAAATGAACACACGTCTATTTCTTCTACAGCAAAACTAGGAAAAATGTTTTAAGTTTGTTTAAAGTCATATGAGCTGTTAATTTTAATATAAAAGTGTATATCGCATCACAAAAATTTAACATGTTTTAAACACCGGGATTTGTGGTATAACCCTGCATTGAACAAAAAATTGAGACGTTTCCAGCGACATCTTCCCATGGCGATTTCATTAATTATGCATAGGCATAGGTTCTGGTTTTTTCCGAAGCAGAATTCAACTTTTGACCTCTTTCCACAACATGGATGCTGAGGTAAGAAAATATGCATAATATAGATGCTAGTGTTGCTAAATGAAATATAGTTAAGAAGATAAAAATGGTATTGCATGGAGGAAAATCTTAAATATTTAACGTGTAGGTTACACAACATGTGATACCCACTTAACCTTTATTTTATCATATGTTTGACAAACACATATGTTAAACAAGTCTTCACTAAATTAAATTTGCAAGCCATTAACAAATAAACTATCATATATCATATTATAACAAACTACGGGTCATGAAGCTTATCCTAATACAAAGATTTTTTTTTAAAACATTTTAAGCTTGCTATCCATAAAAACACATACACTTGACTAGTATCTTATAAAATTAACAATTTTAAGAACTTGACAAGACAATATTCCATTTGAGATGATTTTTTTTTTATTATTTCTTTTTCATCTTAGTTTATTTGACACTTTTACAATACTTATAAATTCTTCAGGATGAATGCATTTAACAATCTAGCAATGAACAAATTATCTAATTGATAATAAAGAATGATTTTTTTGGGGTTTTTAGATCAAAGTGTCAAGTTGTAGTTTTTTCAATTCACATTTTGAGGATGGTCTTTTTAGTAAGTTTAATGGGGATTTCTTTAAGTCATTGTTATTTCTACTCCAAATTTATACTTGTTTACTTTTTAAGTAAAGGTATTGTCTCAAGTCTCATATTAACAAAATTGTGATACATCATTAGGAATAAAAAGATTTGGTAAGAAACTTTTAAATCAAATTTTGAAGTCTATAAAAGTTAACATTTCAACTGTACAGGTTGATGACAAATTTTCAGTTCTTAAAAAAAATAACAACAACAAAAAATTCATAAAACTATTTCTTTCAACGGAGTTTTCAAACTTCTAGTGCTCACCATGGTCACATATGTTAAAGACAAAATTTTTCTAGAAATATATGAGAAGAATGTCAGTTCTATAGACTAACATTTTTAAAAATTGAAATTATGTATAAATTCCAATAAAATTTCTAAACAAGCTGCTGTAACTAATCCAGAATGCTAAATGTTCTGTTCTCACCCAGTTGTCTGAATTTTAATATATAGAATAACACATAATATTTAATGATTCACAGGTACTGTCATCCATTTTTAGATCCGTCTTTTGTTTTTTTATCACCATAATAAGTCTTCCACACTTCATCCACTTTTTGCACCCAGTCTTGAGATCCTAATTTTTTATCTTCTAAGTAGTATGTTCTGTTCGGCTGAAAAAAATATTAAATTTTCACATGACTTTTTATGCTTCAAATCAAGAACTTGAAATCTAGTGAAAAATAATAGTGTTTCGTTACCTGCATGTTTTGCTATATACTTGATATACAGAAACACCTTCTTGTTATTTTAGCCAGGGGGCTGACACTGTTTGGAAGCATGTGCCCAACAAAAATATTCAAGAATAATTAAAAGTCACATTTAAGAGATTTCACCTTGAAACTCAGATTTTGAAGAATTTCATACTATGTTCAGCTATCATTTGCAACTGTGACGTTATTTTTAACAGCTGACTTTAAAATTGATAAGCTTCCTTCCTTCCCCATTTTCAGCCATTTGTATAAGCTTTATCAAAATACAACACTTAACATGAGGGTACCCAAATTGCACCTATTTTGAGTTTTTCATCTACGTTTATTTATTATCCAGACAAAAGTTTCCATTCTGTGTTTATTTTGTAGATGTATCCTTATTTACTATATAGTTCCACCAATTTGATTTTGAATCCAAATTGAATCATAGAAAAATGGGTTTGAACAAACCTCCAAACGACCCATGCTTCTGTTAAGAGAAGTACCCAAATTGCATCCATGCTTATTCACATCCGTAAAATTCAAATATTTCTCCAAATATTTAGAACAAATTGACAATAGTCCATAAAATTGAGAATGGAAATGGGGAATGTGTCAAAGAGACAATAACCTGACCAAAGAGCAGAAAACAGCCGAAGGCCACCAATGGGTCTTCAACACAGCGAGAAAATCCCGCACCTAGAGGCGGGCTTCAGCTGGCCCCTAAACAAAAATGTGTACTAGTTCAATGAAAATGGACGTCACACTAAACTCCAAAACATATAAATGAACTAAAATTAAAAACATACAAGACTAACAAAGGCCAGAGGCTCCTGACTTGGGACAGGTGCAAAAATGAGGCGGGGTTACCGTTTAACATGTTTGGTGAGATCTCAACCCCCCCTATATCTCTAGTCAATGTAAAATAAACAAACACACAGCAATACGCACAGTAAAACTCAGTTTAAAAGAAGTCTGAGTCCGATGTCAGAATAGGCAACAAAAGAAACTAAGCAAAATGACAATGATACATAAATTAACAAAGGACTACTAGCAGTTACTGACATGCCAGCTCCAGACCTCAATTAAACTGATTGAAAGATTATGTCTTCATCATATGAAAATCAAGCACAATCTCGCCCGTTAGGGGTTTAGTATCATACCATCATAAAATACATGAGAAGAACATAATCCCGTATCATGCCAACAACTGGTTTTAGAATAAATGTGTTTATTTCCAATGCAAAGACCCTATGAATGAATCAATAATAATACCAAAATATGCTATCTTTAATGACCTGACAACAGTATCATAACTATATCCCTTCTGAATAAGTCTGTTTAAAAGTTTGGTTAGCTTTTGAGGTGAATGTCGACACTTTTGTGCTTTGTATAGAATATTACCATAAAAGATTGGATATGAAATACCTGAACGTATAAGATGTCTGCATGTTGATTTATATTTACAAATGATGTCCTTGTACCGATGATAAAATTTAGTAAATGTTTTGACTAGTTTGTGATATCGAAAACCCTGGTGTAATAATTTTACAGTAATACAGAGGTTTCTTTCATAAAAAATCAAATATGTTGTTACATACACGAGCGAATCGAACAAGTTGAGATCTATAAACACCATAAGATGGTGACATGCTTGTATTTCATATTTTAAGAAATGGATGCCTGCAACATATTTTAATTGCTCATTTCTAAAAGTTGACCTTTTGTGGACGTCGATCCATATATTTTACTTTTATTTAAATTTTTAGTATCAGTGACCTTGAATTTGACCTTATGACTCCAAAATCAAAAGGCTTTCCCCTACCATCTGTATAAACTTCAATTTAATAAGGCAAAGGAATCTCAAGTTATCTGATAAGTATATTTCAAAAAAAAAATCCATTTTTAGTAACAATGATCTTGAACTGTGCCCTATTGACCACACAATCAATAGGCTTCTTTCCATTTATTGTTTGTTCATCTGTTTAATTTCAGTTCCAATCAAGCAAGGGAAACTCTATTTACCACTGGAGAAGCATTTGCTTCGGACACACAAATGAATGAATATACATTTTTTGGGGCTCTTTATAGCTTGCTGTTCGGTGTGAGCAAAGGCTTCCTGTTGAAGGCCGTACTTTGACCTATAATGGTTACTTTTACAAATTGTGACTTGGATGGAGAGTTGTCTCATTGGCACTCATACCACATCTTCTTATATCTATAGACAACAAAGTTACTGATTTTTTTTTCTGGGGACATTATTTCAAAGCTTTGCTCAACTTGTTTTCAAACATGTACAAAAAATAAAAATATAAATATTACTACTCTATTGCATTTATTAAATACACTAATTTTGAGAACTTCATAAAAAAAAATGTTAATTATTTCAAATAAATATCCACCAGTTTATTACATCTCACGTAGCAGATAAATACTACATATTCTTATGTTTTCCTTGGTTGACGTTAAAAAAACACCATCCAAACAATCAAGGTATACTTACTGTGTGAATGAAAAAAGTTTTAAAATTCTTTGCCTCTGGTCGCAGGTCTTCTGACCTAAAATATATGAAAGATATGTAAATAATCTTAACCACATAATGCTTTATGGAATATATTCAGTCAAAATGTTCAAGGACAAAAAGGCTTTTATGTAAATATTGTATATGACTTTTTCAAAGCTTAAAGCTTTCTCAATGTGTTTCTTCTTACCGAAGAGATTAAATAAACTGTTATCACAGAGATATGACTCGCCTTTTTGTAATTTTGATAATGCAAATGTTGAAATTAAAATAGCAATACTTTAACATGTAAGTTATGCAAATATTCAAGGTCGATGAACCATGACTGAAGGTACATGGCTTAACAATCTCCATGGAATGAGATGTGCCAATGCTAATACAACTGCATACCAAATACCATTGACTTATTATTAGTCGTTCCTTTTAAACAAATCTAAACACAAACATTAACTTGTAAACTATGTAAAAGTTTCAAAGTCAATGAACCATGATCAGTGGTGGGGCTATATAATCTCCATGGAAACGATACTTGCAAATGCCAATATATTTGCATACCAAATATCATTGACTTAACATTAGCAGTTCAACTTAAACTGATCTTATCACAAACTAATACATGTAAACTAAGCAAAAGTTTCAAAGTCAATATGTAAGAGATAAATTTGTCCTGGTAAAATATGTCCGGGCGGACATATATTACTAGTATAAAAAGTCCATGGTTACAGAATTTACTAGTATTTTCAGTCCGATGTTAGTAATTTATGTCCCGGGACTAATTTTCTTAGGAATTCAAGTCCATGTCATTAATATTCCTAGGTAAAAACATCCATGTCCTTTTTTTTAAAGGTAAAATATTAATGAATCAAATCATTTACATTTAAAAAATGGAAATTTAAATGTTATATTTTGATATTTTTTAAGAGTTGTATTTATATTTTTTATAAAATGTATTTCCCCAGACTAATTTCCTAGGTAATCATTCAATGTCATTAATATTCCTAGGTAAAATCGTCCATGCCCTTTATTTTAAAAGAAAAATATAAATGTTATGTTTTGATATTGTTTAAAAGTTGTGTATCAATTTTTTAATAAAATTTATGTTCCCAGACTAGTTTTCCTAGGAATTCATGTCCATATCATTAATATTCCTAGGTAAAAACGTCCATGTTCTTTATTTTAAAAGGAAAATTTTAATGAAAAAAAATATTTACATGTAAACAATGGAAATTAAATTTTTATGTTTTAATATTGTTAAAGAGTTGTGCATTTATATTTTAATAAAATTCATGTCCCCAGACTAATTTTCGTAGGAAATCATGTCCATGTCATTAATATTCCTAGGTAAAATCGTCCATGCCCATTATTTTAAAAGATAAATATAAATGTTATGTTTTAATATTGTTTAAAAGGTGTGTATCAATTTTTTTAATAAAATTTATGTCCCTAGACTAATTTTCCTAGGAAATCATGTCCATGTCATTAATATTCCTAGGTAAAAAGGTCCATGTCCTTTATTTTAAAAGGAAAATTTTAATGAAAAAAATTATTTACATGTAAACAATGGAAATTAAATTTTTATGTTTTAATATTGTTAAAGAGTTGTGCATTGATATTTTAATAAAATTCATGTCCCCAGACTAATTTTCCTAGGAAATCATGTCCATGTCATTAATATTCCTAGGTAAAATCGTCCATGCTCTTTATTTTAAAAGATAAATATAAATGTTATGTTTTAATTTTTTTTAAAAGTTGTGTATTAATATTTTAATAAAATTTATGTCCCCAGACTAATTTTCCTAGGACATCATGTCCATGTCATTAACATGCCTAGGTTATAACATCCATGTCCTTTATTTTAAAAGGAAAAAAATAATGAAACTTTCCAATCTTAACTAAGAAAATGTGGTTTTGTTTTTATTCTTTTCAATAATTGTTATAATATAATAAAAATTACTAGAAAAACAAGTCTTAGGACAATTTTTCCTAGGAAAATAAGTGACAGACATATTTTACTAGCTATGGACTTTTTTTCCTAGGAAAATTTGTACTGGGACTTACATTCCTAGTAAAATAATGGTCATGGACTTGATTAACTAGGTAAAAAAGTCTGGCGGACAAATTTTACTACAGGACCAAATTTACTGTTACAAATAGACCATGACTGAGGGGGCGGGGCCAAATATTCTCCATGGAAATGAGATGTTCTTATGCTTATACAACTGAACACCAATTAACATTGGCCTACCACTAATGGTTCCCCTTGAACTGACCTAATCACAAACTAATACATGTTAACTTAGCAAAATTGTCAAAGTCTTAGACCATGACTAAGGGGGCGGAACCAAATAATCTCCATGGAAATGAGATATGCCAATGCTTATACAACTGCATACCAAATATCATTGACCTACCACTAGTGGTTCCCCATAAATTGACCTAATCACAAACTAATACATGTAAACTATGAAAAGTTTCAAAGCCAATAGACCTTGACTGAGGGGGCGGGGCCAAATAATCTCCATGGTAATGAGATGTGCCAATGCTAATACAACTGCATACCAAATATCAATGACCTACCACTAGTGGTTCACCATGAACTAGACCTAATCACAAACTAATACATTGTTGACGCCGCCGCCGGAAACAGCATACCTATGTCTCAATTTTTGACTCCGTCAAGGCGAGACAAAAGTATATCTATATACAAATGCAGTCTGTTCTTTTTATATAAAGAAAATAAATTCAGAATTTTTTGCATTTGCGTTTGAGTGCAAAAGAACAAAAAAATATAGACAGGCACAGGCCGGTACAAACAGTCAGAGCTCTATCGTGTCTGCAACTGTCATCCTGCCCGCCCTAACTGGCTGGTTGGACACTCAACGACAACCAAGGGGACTTTCATGCATACGATGCTTTATTATACGTCATTGCAAGCATAATAAATTGCTTCGCCGAGCACAGCTGGATACGACCGCAGAGGCCCAACCCTGAACAGTTGGGGCAAAAATGAACACAATATTTGCGCTTGATACAGGTATGAATTTGGATTGTAATTCAATATTTGACACAGAATAACTGTAGTCAAAGAACTTAGAATTGGTTATATGATTTGAATTTATATTCAATTTTTTGCTTTTGTGCAATACACTATGCTGTTGCAAATTGACTTTTTGACTAGATTTCTATTTACTAATACTAAAGTTATTGTCCAGAAACCAAATGTCTTTGGACGAAGACGACGTGATAGCAAAATACGACTGCAAAATTTTTTGCGGTCGTATAAAAATGTCTGCGGTAAATAGCTTAAAGATACTAAGCCTGTAATTCTTTTAAAAATGGATGCCAGGATTCAAAAGAATAATTAGAAAATCTATGATATGGACTCAATCAAGCAGCAGTTAACCAAAATGTTTCACAATTGATTTAAATACATTACAAATAAAAGAACAGAGTTCCAATGTCCCACGTGTTGCACATATTTTATATTTCCAAGGGGCATAACTCGTTTAAAAAAAGTCGATCATCCACCATTATAGAACTTAGTCGAGATATTGCTGATATTAACCTATAGTATAAGTTTTATAAAAATCTGGCAAGAATTGTACCTGTGAGAGCGCTAACAAGACTGGACGGAAGGATGCCCGGTATTTCTATGTCCCCCGCAACGCGTTACGTGGGGGACAATAAAGAGTAACGAATTAATGATATAACTCAATGGAAATTTACAATACAGACCTAAGTGAAAACAGAGCTAAACTTGTTTAAGCATGAGCTGTATATCAATGTAAACTTACAGACTGAAAAAAATAATATCTTGTATTTGCTACATTCATGAGAGTACATAGAAAATACTAACCATGGAATTTGTCCCTTTAAAACTTTATTAGCAGGATCAACATAATATAAATGTGGTCCCTCGGTTAATAAAAGCATACGTCTTCTTGCAAATAATCCCTGGAAGATAATCAAACAGATAAAGAGATGACATCTTATTTTCAATACCGGTACACTGAACTATAATCAAGCCAAAATAAATTCAAAATAGAACAGTTGCTGTTTAGTATTGTTTACTCCTTATTTTACTTGGATAAAACAGAATGAAATGTGATACATTTAACAAATTTAACAACTCAACTTAAGGATGTACTTAGGTCAGGTTTAGGAATTTTTGTCAAATGTTCAAACTCCTTAGGTTTAAGATATAGGGTTAAATATTTTGCCCCATAACACCCACTTTTCTTTTCATATAAGACTTCAATAGCTCATAAAAGGTCATGTAACAAAATTTAAGCAGATTCTACATTTCTTTTCTTACGATTTAAGACCCAAATAATGACAATGCTAAAGATAAGGTAAAAGTCCGAGTCAGCCTTTTCCCACCATTTTTAAAAAGTCTAATATCTCAAAAAGGAGTTCCATAACCTATCAATATTTATAGCTTATTTTCCTTAACTGATGCTCTTCTGATTTAAAGTATCAATTTTAAATTCTAGATTTTCTTAATTTCACCTAAGTACATCCTTAAGCAAATGATTTTTGTAATTTTACATACAGTACATTTTATCAGATACTGTCTCATATACTTTCTATTTATACTGAAGAGAAATTGTGATTCTATACTGTTAACACTCTGTTGATTGTGGATATTTGCTTAACTTTACATTTTCCTGTTTTTTTATTGCGTAATCTTTCTAGTATTTGGATAGTACATTACATTGAAAGCATCGTATTTTATTTGAAGTGTAAGGATGTCTTCTATCTACATTACCTTTCTTTTATCGACTAGACCCTGTTTCAGAATAAGGTTGTCTTCCACAAATTTGTGATATTCATTATTTTTCTTTTGTTCCTCTAACCTTTGCTTCCTTTCATCCTCAGTTATACTGCTGTAAATAATAAGACCATCAATATTAATCTGAGAATTAAAAAGAAGGAACAATGAAACTACAAGCAAAGCATCCAGTAGCTACGTAATCAAATGATTGTTTTTTCATTATGCATCAGGTTATCTTTACCTTTGACAGAGTCTATCCTCTAGTCATAAGGAAATTTGATAAAGATGGAATGCAAAGTGCAAGTTCTCTGTTGCTAAATACTATCAAGGAACCTTCCCTTGACTGATTGATTGATGGCTGCTCAACCTAACAAAAGGGTTCATCTTCTTATAATTGGAACCCGTAGTACAAGTTTTGGATAATAAGATAAAAGCTGTAACTCTATAATACATTTTCCATAATGCTAATAGGAAACCTTCAATAGAGACCTTGATATCAAACATGGTTAATCCCTCCTTATGAAGACCAACTGCATCTTGTTTGGTGAAGTCTGGAAGTCCTTAGCTGCTTCTATCAGAGCCACAAGGTGTTATAGGGTGTAACACATATGTTACTTTTTATAAACTAGATTTAGAGCCTGTGTCACTCACCTAGTTCTATGTGCATAATCAACAATGTACTCTCTCGAACATTGTAGACATGAATAGAATTCATGACAAAAATTTCTTTTATGTTGATCTTGTATTGCTGATCATTTATTCTGTTTAGTTTCTCTCTATCTTCTTTAGTTTTTGCTCAAAACACAAAAGAGGGTAAAAAGATCCTCATTTAAGGGCAATCACACCCATGAGGAGTGACAGTCTACTAACTATATCTGCAAAATTTGACTTTTTTGTAGATCTTGCCCTGCTGATCATTTTTGTGATTTGAAGTTTCTATTTATCTATTATAATTTTTTTTATATAAGACTAAACGCAAAAAAATTGGTAAATATCATCATTAAAGGAAAATTTCCTCCATATTGTCATAAATGTAGATCTGGTCTTACTGATCATTTTTGCTTGTTTAAGTATCTATCTATTATAATTTTTAAGACATAAGGAAAAACGCAAAAAATTGGTAAAAATTGTCATTAAAGGGCAATAACTCTAAATAGGAGTCAACTGCAATTTCGACCATACCATACTTATTCGTTGTTCTTGTCTTGCTGATCACTTTTGCAACTTAAAGTTTCTCTTTACTAATTATAGTTTTCAAGATAAAAGTCAAAAAATAAAAAAAAAAAATGGTAAAATTTGTCATTTAAGGGCAATGACTCCTATAAGAAGTCGCCTGACAGTTTTGACATCACTGAACATTTGATAGAGCTCAACATTCTGAACATTTTTGCCATGTTAGATTTTCTCTATTTATAACAGTTTTCAATATAATCGACAAAATTTCATTTTACCCTATGTTCTATTTTTAGCTATGTAGGCCAATTTGGTTGGCAAGCGGGGTCATTGGCCACATTTTTAAACTAGATATCCCAATTATAATTGTGGCCAAGTTTGGTTAAATTTGATCTTATAGTTTCAGAGAAGATTTTTAAAGTGAACAGACAATGACGATTGACAACAAACGCCAAGTGATGAGAAATGCTCACTTGGCCCTTTGGGCCATGTGAGCTAAAAAAAGGGGGCAGTGAAAGGATGTAATAAGGATCTAAACTTCACAAAATTTGTATTTTTCCATTGCAGAAAAAAAATGGTGTTCAAGATATATATAAATGGTAGCATACTGTCTAATCATAATACTATTAGTAAATATTGAAAATTTCACCACTCAGCTTATGGTGGATTTTTATCTGAAAATACAATAACTTAAAAGAAAAATTCAATGTAGAACGTTATATTAGATTAAGTTAGTTTGTATGTTTTTATTCAATTAAAAATATTTACTTACATATTATCACTAACATTATTGGTTATTAGTTCAACAATTCTTTTATCATCAAAGCCAGGCTGAAATAAAAAGTAGATTTTATTTATCAAGAGCATAGCTGACAAAACTTTGGCTTTCATGAACCAAATAAATTTTGCATCTTGTACATTAAATATTCTGTAAATTCAAAATTCAAACATGTGCCAATTATTAGGGGGGTTCCCAACAACCCTTTTCTACCAGATTTCTACATTTGTATTGTAAAATATTGCTATCAACTTAAAATATGAGTTTTATCACTGCAATGCAATTATAACTTTGTAGTATTTTTCAAATCAGAACACTCATTAATTTCTGAATTCATAAAAGCACATGAAATACAATAATGAGCTGTGCCATGAGCGCATGATATGCCCGTCACATTTTCAACAAATAAAGTTCCATAACTCCTCAATGTCATATAAGAAATTTATAAAAAAAACTAAAAGGAGCTTATTTTAATAGATTTAAACCCGCCACCAAAGTTTCATGAAAACTGCTAAAAGCATTTTTGAGGAATTGTCCAAAAACTAGAAAATCCCCTCTTTTTTAGGAATAAAAATCCCATTACTCGGAAACGTAAAATCTGAAATTCATAAAAATTGAAAGTGAGCTTACGTCAATAGATATAAACAATTCATCAAAGTTTCATGAAAATTGGTTCAAGAGTTTTTGAGTTATTGTCCTACATGTTGACAACAGACGGACATTGGTATACCATAATACGTCCCGTAAATGGGCGTATAAAAACTCTCAGGTTCAATTTACTTATATCACCTATAAGGTCCTATCAAATTTATATTTACTAAAACTGCTTGCATGGCCCAAACTACTTCTGAATCAATGTGCAATGTGACTTCTCTTTTTGACATTAAACTGTAAGGTGATATACCAAAGGAGCATAGTACTTGAAATAGACATACTAACCCGACTCCATAATTCATCTGGATTGTCTTTTGTTGCTGGTAAATATGGAAGTAGTTCTGGTGGTTTTTGTTCAGATACATGTTCCCAATCTATTCCTTCAAAGAAGGGATGAGATTTTAGCTGTTCCATTCCACCTAGTTCTTCACAACCAAGTCGTTGTGAAGGTTCTATAACCTATAAAATCCAGAATAAGCATTAGTAATGTATTTTAGCAGGTGCTTATTTTTGGTTGCACTGCTTTATCAATGTCGCTTATTCTCTGATTATCTTTTACTTCATAATTAGTAGATAACAATTGTATATAAAGATTTGTGGTCATCAATTGTCGATTTGATGGTTTCTAATCTTCAAATATAAAATTGTCATCTCCTTTCTCATACAACTGAAAGAAAACACGATGAAATCATACATTTTAAAATTTGTCACATGATTGCATGCACAATTTCAGATCATCAACTGTAAAATTGATACCCTGAAATTTGTGGTATTATCCAATCAAATTGAACGTTACAAACAAAATTAAATAAGAATTTTTATTCATGTAAAGAACAGAAATGATATTTCTACTGTAAATATCGTTACTATCTGAAAATCAGTTTCCGATAAATCTATCCAGATAACATGTAGTGAGTGGTCATTTTTTTGCTTATACTACATTGGGATTCACTTTAAGCTCGTTGTTTAAAAATTGTTTATGCAGTATAATATATCTGCTATATCTTTTTCCAAGAAGAGATTATCAGAATCACATGAAATTTGCTATAGAAAGTTAATATCAGGTTAGTATACCGTAATTTCGTAAAATATTGCAAAAAATATCACTTGAAAACATCTATTACTTAAAACATGTTGTGTTCTTGTAGTTTTGAAGTATTTTCATACAATAAATGGGTTATTCCACATGTATAAGTGAGTACAACTCCTTTCTAAATATCAGTATAATATCCTAAGGAATGAAAAATCTTCATGATTGATTGGTTTCCACAACACAGGTGAAAACTCTGATAATCAATTACCTTAGATGTATTAATCACAACATTCATCTTAAGTATGCAAAAACTTACCAATAATTTTTCTACCAAATCTCTGGCTAGTGGATCAAAGCCATCTGGAAATTCATATTCTAATTTCTGGATTTTTTGGAATATTTGAAATTCATGACTGTAATATATAGATAATAATATAAAATCAATCAATCAAAAATATAATCTTTTGTAAGGCATCACATAAATTTGTGACAGACTTTCTTTGACAACAGCAAACTTTACAAATACTGTCAGTGATAAATATGATAACTCATCTAATTCATTGAAATTACAAAAACTTAAATGAATTGTAATGGAAAATACATTTTGTATGATATATATTGGTGTTAACCTTGAAATAATCACTTATAAATATACTGGTATATGACATAAAAATGATGGTACTCACCCTCCTCTGAAAGGTGGAAGGCCAGACAATAACTGATAAATAATACAACCTAAAGCCCATAAGTCTGAACTGAAAGAAATTATTTTAAAGAAATTAGACAACATATGTAAAAAATCAGAAATACCAAAATGAGACATTTAATCCCAATTAACTATACATTCAAAAAGAAATAATTTCTCAGCATACATTTTATCAGAGTTCTGAAGTTTAAAGTTCAAACTGACCTCTCAAGAGAGGACCTTTAAAAGAGGTTCTGAAAAAAATCAGATTCTGGCATTGAAAGGCGCCAGGATTGGGGCAAATTGTGTTAGTGTTTTCAATTGGTATAGTTATCATTCGTTCCAGCAGACAAAAAAAAATGGTGAATTCTGGCGCTCTAAATTTGAAGAAAATATTTGAATTAGTTTTAAAATATTAGTGGAGAAATGTTGATGATACGGTTTTCAATGGAAACTGAAAGAAGTGGAACACTAGAAATTCACCTCCTTTTGAGCGATCTTAGTTGCAAACGGGTTCAGATTCTCATTTTGACCTCGATACTGAACACATATACTTTTCGTCATGATTATATTTTGGATGTTAAAAACGTGAAAATGACTGTTGTTAAAAGTTGAATTGACGATTTTGTGCAAAGATTGGGTGACCGCTGAAAAGAGTTAAATTATATAGAGAAAAATGTTTGGGTCTGAAAGTGACCCTTAGAGGCAGGTGACTGCTGAAGTGAGGTGACCATAAAGGCATGTTGACTGTACTTACCTACTAAAAACATGATTATATGGAGTTTTGTGGAGAAAACACTTACAGGTGAGAACCTATGAAGGCATAATAACCTACTGCTGACTTGTTTATAGGTGAGAACTTGCTAAGGCATACTAACCTACTGCAGACTTGTTTACTGGTGAGAACTTATGAAAGCATACTAACCTATTGCAAATTTGTTTACTGGTGAGAACTTGTGAAAGCATAATAACCTACTGCAGACTTGTTTACTGGTGAGAACTTGTGAAGGCATACTAACCTACTGCAGACTTGTTTACTGGTGAGAACTTCTGGAGACACATACTGTGCTGTTCCTACAAACGAATTCTTTCTCCTTTGTGTATGGTGTTCTGAAAACAAAAAGGAATAAATCTTATTGCAGCAATGGCTTTGTTAAGTTCTAAATTCCCCCAAAAATGTGAGGTTTTTATTATTAAAATTGCAACAGGATAGGTCTAACAGAAATAAAAACCTATTAACATATCAAATTTTGATAGCATCATTCTTATGCAAAATTTCCCAAAATCACAATTATAAATCTGGGGCATTTTGGTGAATTGTTTTACAACTGCAGATTGATTTGTTTATTTGATTTTCTTTCAAAATTTTGCTTGAACACTCTCTCTTAATCATGAAGAATCTTATATTCATAATTCATAATATTATATGAAGGTTTGACAATTGTTGATTTCTAAACAACAGAGCATACTGTGAAGTGTCTTACAAGTTTAACTGATCATCATTGAATTTTATGTTGAAAGTCAATATCATGGTTTACTACAGGTATCACATAAACTTAACATTGATAATGATCCATGAAAATGAGGTCAAGGTCAAAGGATAATTTTGTACACATTACAATCAACAATCATTCCACACACCAAATATAGTTGACCTATTGCTTATATAATCAAGAAACAAGACCTAATCATAAAAACTTAAAGTTGACCAATTAACCATGAAAATGAGGTCAAGCTAAAAAGATCCTTACCAGACAGACATGTACACATTACAATCATTTCATACATCAAATTTAATTAGCCTATTGCTTATAGTAGCTAAGCATAAACACTTTTTGATTGACACTGATCCATCATATAAGGTCAAGGTCAGGTGAACCCAGTCCGAAAGACACGTTTACCCTGCAATGATTCTTTAAAGCACATAAAAGTGTTCTATTTCGCATAATATGAACGAGATGCTTTGCCCCCTTTACTAATCATGAATAAATTTGATGTTGAAAGTGATTAAGATTAAAGTTTTACTAAAGATACCACTTAAACTCAACATTATCCATAAAAATAAGGTCAACAAAAAAACAAAGTCCATTTATCAGTTACCCTGTAAACAAAGACAACATGGAAAAATTACATGAACCAAATTGTTGATTTTGACAACGACTAAATAACAACAACAATTAACTATTTTAGGAGGGTTACACAGTTAAACAACTAATTACCACCACCTGAGGCCTCCGGTATAGAAAAGAATTCATCTAGTTGAAAAACAAAAGAAGTATCTGGCATACAATAGTATAACGGCAAAAGGTATAATGTTCAATAAAACAGGATAAAATGTTATGAACAAATGAAAACTAATTAATATTAGATGTGATGTGTTTTGTATATGAAAGTACTTACATTTGTAATATTTAAAAAAGGTGCATGCAAATTGTTCCACCAGCATGGTTGAAAATACATAAACGATTTCTTGAACAATTAGATTTTGGGTTTAGGAAATGAAATTGAACAGCTTTTCTCAAGGGGTATTGATTACTGTCTGAAACATAGTGATATTTGCTAATAAGATGTGATGGGGCATTCTTTTTGACACACTTATATTGTCAACACAAACTTGAGATATTTTATTCTCTATGATTTTAGGATTGGTATGTCTTGCAAGGAGACATAAAGCTATATGCACTCTGTTTCTTTGAATATGAAAAAAAATAATATGTTAAAAATATTACATTATAACTATTACCGGTACATGTGAATTATTATCATTGAGACCAAATTTTATGGATTTCATGGTTTTCTTACTTACCAACTACAAAATTTAAATAAAGACATGTTTCCACTATTTCGTATTCTACAAAATTATAGACTATATATAAAAGCTTTCATGTGTCATCTCATATGGTTCAATTTTAAATGTAGACTGCTTGTGTTAAAAAATTGATCTTAATATCAATAACATTTAGAAGTAATATTTAAATTACTCTTCTAGGATGTAGAGTCTGGACTGAAACAGCAAAGTTCAACTGGTAAAACAAACACACAGCAAAATATATTGTATCTAACACACCTTCCTCTGGTTTTATCTCTTCTTCTTTATGTAAGATCTTTGCACTGCCAAAATCTGTTATCTGTATGTGCATTTCTGTGTTTAATAAAATATTTTCAGGCTTTAAATCTCTGAAATAAAGAAAGGAAATATTGGATAAGTATAAGAATATTTTATCAATTTTGTTCAAAAAGTAGATGTATAATTTGATGTTAAATAGTTCTAATGAAAATTTATTGTTAAATTGTTTTAAGTTATTTGTTATTTGTACATGTACAATAAAGTACAGTAGTTTTGTAAATAACATTGATAAACACCTTTATGACAGTATACATGTAGAGAGAACTCATTTTTGCTACATGAACCTTTTTTTTTGGCTATGCATTGGATGCTTTTCATAAGCATAAACATTAACTGCCTTTGTGCTTCTTGTTATTTATTTTATAGCTTGTATTTAATTTAGTTAATTGTGCATTTTATTTTTCCCAGCCTGTAATTTTATTTTTCAGTTCAATAAATGTATTTGGTTTGCTATGTAATTTGAATATATTGTCTGCATGTGCTATTGTTTTAATGTTAGTTATATATTTTTTTATATTCGCAAAAAAGGCTTAAAAGAGATAATGTTTTATTGTTGTATACATTCCAAATCTAAATAAATAAATCTTTAATATCATCACTTAATGTACATGAAAACACAAAAAGCAAAGGACCAGCGCTTGTATTTCTATTCAAAGTCACAGTGAGGCATTTAAGATAGAGCAAAATCACTCATCTGACTGAATGTTGAAAACTTCCCCTACCATCTGTTTACTGTTTATTCAATTATGGGAATACCAGTTGTTTCTTTTTCCATATCAATATTCTTTCATCCATTAAGCTCAATTAACAGATATTCAACCTATTCTTATTAAAACACAACAATGGAAATCTCACCTATGAATAAAATTTAAACTGTGCATATATTCTAAAGCTAGTACAATTTCTGCTGCATACCACTGAGAACAATGCACATCAAAGGAAGACAACTTATGTAGATAATCCAAAAGCTCCCCTCGTTCTGCATAGTTTAACACAAAATCTTCATTTCACTAAGGAATCATAACTACCGGTATACTTCATGAAACCTATGAAAGGCCATTATACTGAATTATAATCATTACAGGTTCATGCTATGTCAAATTGTCAATACTCTTATGTATGATGGAAGTATTTATTAGGGTCTTTTGGGAAACTCTATGAATGCCTTTATGGTAAGTTTGAATGCTATAATTTGGGAACATTAATTATTGGAGTGATTTAAATTTTTGGGGAATTCTTCCTTATACTGGACCCTGAAAAAATCCATGAGAAGCTATGATAAATTTGACTTCGCTGTATTGTTATTATGCTAATTACATAACACATGATATTCTTCCTTGAAACACTTGTAGCAACTCGCAATTGTAGGATTAAGATTGCCTTATGTGTATCGTTACTTGTCAACATATGCAGAATACGTGATTTGATTTTTTTTAATGATAAACACAGCAAGAAGGAAAGAAGAAGACATTTTTTTTTAATATAGAATAAAGTTTTTTTCACAAATTCTTGAAATTTACCAATTTGTTCAATGATTATTTTTTTAATACCGGTACATAAAAAGATATAATCATTTAATTTTTGTTCAACTTATAAAACCTTACTGTGGTGGTATATATCATATGTTTTTTCAGTACATGTATAATGAGGACAATTGGCAGTTGTCATTGTGTAGTTGTTTACTTAGTTCTTCATACATTTACAAAATGTATAGTGATTTGTAATTTTCAGGTGTATTTGATACTTATGTAAGAATTTTTCAAGAATCTGCTTGTTTACTACAGTGGAGGATCCAGAGGGGGGCATAGAGAGCGTATGCCGCCCCCCTTTACTTGCACTTCTTTCTTTTTTTCTTTTTTTTTTAATAAGACTGTAAAATGATTAATCAGACTAGATTTCATTAACTTAACATTTCCCGTATATTTAATTTTTATGTGACAATTTGTTACTTATAAAGATATTATTCCCTCGTATTTACGTGTAATATATTATTAATAATGTCAAAGTCACATGATTCGCTACCGTGGAGTTGACCAGTATGTTGAAAAAACGTCACTCAGTCATTTTGAAATTCAAATTACAGTAACACATTGCTAAGGCTGAGGATGACAAGCATGACGCCTTCAAAGCAACAAAGGATGGAGCAAGGACGTATTGACTCCTATTTCACAATTCCACAGTGGAAAATTTTTCCATGTCCATTTTTTACTGACAAATCACACATCAAATATATTGGTACATTGATCCATCCAATCATTTTATAATAGATAATTAATGGGGAGAATATGGCATCAAAAATGTCCAACCCTTACACTTTAACTATAAAATATACATGCCCCACGACAGTAACCGTTACGTTAGTGCATTTTACACTTATTCAATGTTTTTTAACAAAAAAAAGGACAAACAAAAATTTTTTTTCAATTCAGCGAATGGTTCTATTCTACGCCCCCTCTTTCAAAAATCCTCGATCCACCCATGTACTATATAGTTGTGTGTGATATCAGTGTTCCAGCTAGGTCGTTTTCACAGGGCGGTCCATCCGCCCTTTCCCGAGTGCCGCCCTGTGCCCTTTTTAAGATGCCCTGCCCTTTTTCGTAAGTCCATGCCTTTATTGCCGTAATATTTTGATGAAAATACAATTATTCTACCTGTCTTCATATTTATGACAAGTTTATGATCCTCAGCCAATTAACATTTACAGCCGGTGTAATAAGTTGTGATTACAGATAATCCGCTTATCAACATCGGATGGGTCATTAATCAGTTAATTAAACTTCATAATTGATCATTGTTATAATTTTTCTCATTAAATTCGGTCAGTCAGCATTTCAATTTCAATATTTCTCAAAAGATGTCAATTTGCGTTTGATGTATCCGTAGATCGTCTGTTGTTTATATGTCAAAGACTTTTTTTTTAAATTGATCTTTTAAACTAGTTTTAATCCAGAAGAAAGTAAAAACAATGCTTGACTGTACCTTTCATTGAATATCTATATCCAAATTAAATTAATTAAAGCTGTAATCCATGATCACAAATTGACTGCTTTGTTTACATTTGTTGAAAGCCATGTACTTTTTAGGCAGGAAAATTCGGAAAACCCCTTTAACAAGAAACAGTTACATTTCATTGTAATTTATAGACAGTAAGATTTTCATTTTGATTAACTGCTAAGATTATTTCATTAAAAATGAATACTTTCTTGGGGTGAAACTGATAATACTTTAATACTCTACATCAAGGGTTTGTAAAATGGAAAAGAGGGAGGATTTTTTTATATTTTTTTTATATATAATATTACAAATATAAGTTTAACAGTCTGAAAAGACATGGTTAAATGGATTTTAATTCTGAAAAACTCAATGTGGTTTATTATAATTCATTTATTATTTCTATCATAATCAGAAACACTGGACTACATGTATTAGGCATTTCAAACATATATTATTGCCTTTATAAGAACATCCAAGATTATTAATAAGTATGTACCTGTAGTAAAAATACCCTGGTAGGGCCTTAAAATTTCTACTGGGCCCTTGGAAAAAAGTTTTAGGATCCAGATTGGCCCCTGGAGAAAATGTAAGGTATTGTTCCTGACTGTATTGCAGATCTAGTGTAGTATTTTAACTGACATGCACAATCATTTCACTAAAGAAATAAAAATAATTCTACAAAACGCCGCTGTGCTCTGCATTGCAACTTAACCTACGACCTACCATGCATTAAAAATGTTCTAGGGAAGACTGAGCTAGTAATATACATCCTTGCATGGTCACTTTAATACTGTTACCCAAAATAAGGTTGATTTTCATCTAGCGTAAAAGTGACTAAACCCCCTCAAAACTCCTAGCTGAAACCCCTGCAGTTAACATAAGACAATGTTTGACATGCCCTTTTTGAAATATCAATCATCGTGCTAAAGTGCCCTTTTCATAATTGGCTCCCTGCCCTTTTGAAATCCTAGCTGGAACACTGAATATATAGCTTATCACAGGACACCATATGGTGACCTCTAATAACCAGATAATTGGTTTACAGTTAAACCTGTCTACTACAAAACAAACAAATATTCAGTACAAAAGGTGTTTTGTTTAGATACTGTAAAGTGTTGTTGTGAATCTGTATCTACTTTTATTCATTACAATTCTATAAATGACTTTTATAAGGAATCAAATCTTAAAAAGGATACATAATCTATCTGTATCTTGAAATGTAAAATATAATCTAATAATAAATGGATGATTCATCTTCATTAAAACTTCTTTTTCTCTCATCACGTATTGTGATTTCTTTTCCCTCATTATATGTCTCTTTTCTAAAACTTTAACTGCAAAGAAAACAAAAATGCTTTGGACATTGAAAACATCAAATTAACATAATGTATAACAATAAAACAGTTTTGTTTTTGAAAAGTGACTGTATCCAGTCGGGAGTGTAATAATGTTTGTATCCTTAGGTTCTTTTCAATTGAAACGTGACTGTACCCAGTCTAAAGTGTAATGTCTGAATTCTTTTGTTCTTTTCACTTGAAAAGCGACTGTATCCAGTCAGGAGTGTAATTTCTGTATCCTTATGTTCTTTTTACTTGAAAAGTCACTGTACCGAGTCTGGAATGTAATCATAATGTCTGTATTCTTTTGTTCTTTTCACTTGAAAAGTGACTGTTTCAAGTCAGGACTGATATTTCTGGATCTTAGTTCCATCAGTTCTTATGCATCTCTATTTAGTCAACGTTAAATAACAATTTTAAATTTTAGGACATAATTTATTTTCCTATTCTTCATGTAAAAGAATTTTAAGTAATACTAAATTGAAACTTACTTGCAAATTCAGTTCCAGTTTCTACTTCCTTCGCTAAATATACCTTAAAACAACATTGGAAAATTATGTTATGTTCCCTAATTACAAACTAATTTTGAACAAATCTTTAATTTCAGACCCTTGTTATCTTTAATATTGTCAAAAATGTCATTTTGATAAAATACAATACATGAAACTTTTTTTTAGAAAGTAAAATTTCTAATTAACCTCAGGACATTCAACAATACAAATGTACAGGTGCTTTGCTTTTACCCCAATTGGCATTTCATTTGCGCCACAAACCATATTTCATTTGCGCCAAAAATAAAACATTTCAATTGCGCCAATAATACAGGTTAAAACATATAAACAATAGATTTATTTAAAAGAAACTTTTAATAATAACTTTAAAACACAGTTTTTGTTTGCATAATAAAACATATTCAACAGAAATCAGTCAACATAAAAGCAAACTGCAGCTGGTGTGTCCATGTGTCTCATTTTTATATAAGGTGTTAATCTTTGATGGTCTTTCAAAAATTCTGAGTTGCTGTGATTCTACTTTCTGTTTGTTAACACCATGATTATGTTCGTTCAAAAAGAATGGCGAAAGATACCAAAGGCATATATATACTAGTATTCAACCTAATAAGTCGAAATTAAACTGACAATGCCATGACAAATAAATAAAGAGCTGGGACATGATCGGGAATGATACGCCCGTCGCCAACTGGACAGTTTTTAACAATATAGAAAACTAAAGTTTGTATAATTGTTTTGTTGTCCACATCTGTTTCAATTCTGGCTTTGCAAGATTTTTTTTGGTATGACTTGTCTCCAATTGTCAAAACATAAAACTAGAGGCTCTAAAGAGCCTGTGTCGCTCACCTTGGTCTATGTGCATATTAAACAAAGGACACAGATGGATTCATGACAAAATTGTGTTTTGGTGATGATGATGTGTTTGTAGATCTTACTTTACTGAACATTCTTGATGCTTACAATTATCTCTATCTATAATGAACTTGGCCCAGTAGTTTCAGTGGAAATTATTTTGTAAAAATTTACAAAATTTATGAAAATTGTTAAAAATTTATTATAAAGGGCAATAACTCCTTAAGGGGTCAATTGACCATTTTGGTCATGTTTGACTTATTTGTAGGTCTTACTTTGCTGTACATTATTGCTGTTTACAGTTTATCTCTATCTATAATAATATTCAAGATAATAACCAAAAGCTGAAAAAATTTCTAAAAATTACTAATTCAGGGGCAGCAACCAACAACGGGTTGCCTGAATGGTCTGAAAATTTAAGGGCAGATAGATCTTGACCTAATGAACAATTTGGTTTTTGAAAGATTTGCTCGAAATGCTTTGGGTTTAGATATATGAGCCAAAAACTGCATTTTACCCTATGTACTATTATTAGCCATGTTGGCCATCTTGGTTCGTGGGCAGGGTCATCAGACACAATTTTTAAACTACATACCCTAATGATGATTGTTTACAACTTTGGTTAAATTCATCTTAGTTTCAGAGAAGATTTTTGTAAAAGATAACCAAAATTTACGAAAAATTGTTAAAAATTGACTATAAAAAGGCAATTACTCCTTAAGGGGTCAACTGACCATTTTGGTCTTGTTGACTTATTTGTAGAACTTACTTTGCTGAACATAATTGCTGTTTACAGTTTATCTCTATCTATAACAATATTCAAGATAATAACCAAATACGGCAAAATTTCCTTAAAATTACTAATTCAGGGGCAGCAACCTAACAACGGATTGTCCGATTCATCTGAAAATTTCAGGGCAGATAGATCTTGACCTGATAAACATTTTTACCCCATGTCAGATTTGCTCTCAATGCTTTGGTTTCAGTGATATAAGCCAAAATCTACATTTTACCCCTATGTTCTATTTTTAGCCATGGCGGCCATCTTGGTTGGTTGGCCAGGTCACCGGACACATTTTTTAAACTAGATACCCTAATGATGATTGTGGCCAAGTTTGGTTAAATTTGGCCCAGTAGTTTCAGAGGAGAAGATTTTTGTAAAAGTTTACGGACGACGGACGCCAAGTGATGAGAAAAGCTCACATGGCCCTTTGGGCCAGGTGAGCTACAAATGACAGACTTATTCGCTCTGATGTCTCCGAATTTTTAATGTCCATCTTGCAATGACATCGCAAACATGTGAACACTTTAGAATCTTAAAAGAAAGTGACTTAATTTTTAGAAATGCGTATGAAATAACTTTAAAAATTAGTCAGGGGAAACTCTAAAAAGAAATATTGTTCATGATATATAGCAATGAGTATTTCAACTATTATGTTATATGTTACCTGTAAAATGCTGAAAATGCAGTTTTTATTTTTTGGCACAAATGAAATATAACCTTGCGGCGCAAATGAATGATTGGATTTTGTAAAACTTGGCACAAATGCAATGCGCCCCAAATGTATCTATTGAAAACTTAATTGCTACATGTACATGTACTTCATTTGAATATTTTTTCAAAATGAAAAAGAAAACTATAACATATAAAGCTTTTAACATAAACTGTTATCCCAGAGATATGTCTCGCCTTTTTGTAATTTTGATAATGCAAATGTTGAAATTAAAATAGCAATACTATAACATGTAAGTTATGCAAATATTCAAAGTCAATGAACCATGACTGAAGGTACATGGCTAAACAATCTCCATGGAATGAGATGTGCCAATGCTAATACAACTGCATACCAAATACCATTGACTTATTATAAGTCGTTCCCTTTAAACAAACCTAAACACAAACATTAACTTGTAAACTATGTAAAAGTTTCAAAGTCAATGAACCATGATCAGGGGTGGGCCTATATAATCTCCATGGAAACGATACTTGCAAATGCCAATAAATTTGCATACCAAATATCATTGACTTAACATTAGTAGTTCATCTTAAACTGATCAAATCACAAACTAATACATGTAAACTAAGCAAAAGTTTCAAAGTAAATAGACCATGACTGAGGGGGCGGGGCCAAATATTCTCCATGGAAATGAGATGTGCTAATGCTTATACAACTGAACACCAATTAACATTGGCCTACCACTAATGGTTCCCCTTGAACTGACCTAATCACAAACTAATACATGTTAACTTAGAAAAATTTTCAATTTTCAAAATTTTCCCTATAGACCATGACTAAGGGGGTGGAGCCAAATAATCTCCATGGAAATGAGATATGCCAATGCTTATACAACTGCATACCAAATATCATTGACCTACCACTAGTGGTTCCCCATAAATTGACCTAATCACAAACTAATACATGTAAACTATGAAAAGTTTCAAAGTCAATAGACCTTGACTGAGGGGGCGGGGCCAAATAATCTCCATGGTAATGAGATGTGCCAATGCTAATACAACTGCATACCAAATATCATTGACCTACCACTAGTGGTTCACCATGAACTAGACCTAATCACAAACTAATACAGTGTTGACGCCACCGCCGCCACCGGAAACAGCATACCTATGTCTCGCTTTTAGACTCCTTCAAGGCGAGACAAAAATGATTATACTATAGTAATATGTAATTATTTTCTGTTATCTTACTACTGTGGATTCATTATCATATTTATTATTTGATGAATACCAATTTTTGTGGGTACAGGTGAACCACAAATTTAAATGATGTTCAAAGAAATACAAATGTTCTATAGGTTTGTATGCAGAAATATTTAAAACCAAGAAATCAAGTATCCACAAAATTGCAAGTTTTCCTCAATCCAAAATAAAATGCTCCGCAGGGCGCAGCTTGATACGACCGCAGAGGTCGAACCCTGAACAGTTGGGGGAAGTATGGACACAACATTCAAGCTTGATACAGCTTTGGATTTGGATTGTGATTAAATATTTGACACAGCATAGGTTTCTAACACAGATTGAATGTGGTCTAAGAACTTAAAAATTTTAAATTGGACATTCACCTATTATGGTCCAATATCCAAAATCTTAATACATGGTTAGATTCAGCATATCAAAGAACCCCAAGAATTCAATTTTTGATGAAATCAAACAAAGTTTAATTTTGGACCCTTTTGACCTCAATGTGGACAAAGTTGATAACGGGGCCCAAAAATCAAAAATCAAAATACATGGTTAGATTCAGCATATCAAAGAACTCCATATATTCAATTTTTGTTGAAATCAAACAAAGTATAATTTTGGACCCCGATTTGGACCAACTTGAAAACTGGGCCCATAATCAAAAATCTAAATACATGTTTAGATTCAGCATATCAAAGAACCCTAAGAATTCAATTTTTGTTAAAATCAAACTAAGTTTAATTTTGGACCCTTTGGACCTTAATGTAGACCAATTTGAAAACGGAACCAAAAATTAAGAATCTAAATACACGGTTAGATTCGGCATATCAAAGAACCCCAATAATTCAATTTTTGATGAAATCAAACAAAGTTTAATTTTGGACCCTTTTGACCTCAATGTGGACAAAGTTGATAACGGGGCCCAAAAATCAAAAATCTAAATACATGGTTAGATTCAGCATATCAAAGAACCCCATATATTCAATTTTTGTTGAAATCAAACAAAGTTTAATTTTGGACCCCGATTTGGACCAACTTGAAAACTGGGCCCATAATCAAAAATCTAAATACATGTTTAGATTCAGCATATCAAAGAACCCTAAGAATTCAATTTTTGTTAAAATCAAACTAAGTTTAATTTTGGACCCTTTGGACCTTAATGTAGACCAATTTGAAAACGGAACCAAAATTTAAGAATCTAAATACACAGTTAGATTCGGCATATCAAAGAACCCCAATAATTCAATTTTTGATGAAATCAAACAAAGTTTAATTTTGGACCCTTTGGACCTCAATGTGGACCAATTTAAAAACGGGGCCCAAAATCCAAAAACTAAATACACGGTTAGATTCAGCATATTAAAGAACCCCATGAAATCAAGAATAAAACCCCATTGAAATTGGTCAAGAAATAAGCAATTTATAGGAAGTATCTTCTTTTGCACAATCCTGTGCTATTAAATATTTCTTGCTATTGCGCAATACTGTACAATTGACAATTTCTTGCTATTGCGCAATATTGTGCTATTGGATATTTCTTGCTATTGCGCAATACTGTGCAATTGGATATTTCTTGCTATTGCGCAATACTGTGCAATTGAAGATTTCTTGCTATTGCGCAATACTGTGCAATTGAAGATTTCTTGCTATTGTGCAATACTGTGCAATTGAAAATTTCTTGCTATTGCACAATACTTATTATATAATAATTTACACATCCTGTTTGGTGTGTATCTCCTACCATATCATTATTATTTGATTTTAAATATAAATCAGAAATAACCAACTTAAAATGGAAAATTTTAAAAGAAACAAAAAAGGAAAAAAAAATAAATCCCCCCCCAAAATGTTTTGAAACCCCATTATGATTCATCACCCCCAAACTCAATCCCAGCCTTCCCTTTGTGGTATGGTACCTTGCAGTACAATTTCAGAGAGATCCATACACTTGAACACAAGTTATTGTCTGGAAACTAGAAAAAAATGTGTTTTTTGGCCCCTTTTTGGTCCCAAATTCCTAAACGTTTAGGGCAATTACCCCCAAAATCAAACCCAGCTTTCCCTTTGTGATATGGAACCTTGTAGTACAATTTCAGAAAGATCCATACACTTACACACAAGTTATTGTCATGAAACTAGAAAAATGCTTGTTTTTTGCCCCTTTTTTGGCCCCTAATTCCTAAAATTTGGAGGCAATTACCCCCATAATCAATCCCAGCATTCCTTTAGTGATATGGAACCTTGTGGTACAATGTCAGAGAGATCCATACACTAACACACAAGTTATGTCTGGAAGTTACAAAAATGCTTATTTTTGGCCCCTTTTTGGCCCCTAATTCCTTTACTGTTATTACCATAACCCCCAAAATCAATCCCAACCTTCCTTTTGTGGTATTGAACCTTGTGGTAAAATTTCATAAAGTTCCATTCACTTTAACTAAAGTTAGAGTGCGAAAACCAATGTGTCTTCGGACGACGCCGGACGACGACGACGCCAACGTCATACCAATATACGACCACAAAAATTTTTTTGCGGTCGTATAAAAATTGGTACCCACGAAAATAAATGAATCCACAGTATTCAAATAATACAAACACTGTCATGACTGTATAGCCAAAAAATAACCTATTTAAATGACAGGCTTTAACTAAAAATTAAACAAGTTTAAGTTGATACCTTGTCATAAAAACAAGGGGTCTAATTCTACCCTTTAAAAACTCTTGTGACTAGAAAGATTATACTTATAATTCTAGATTGCAGAAAATAACTGTAGTTTCAAGATTTAATACTTACTGTAGAATATGAACCTTCTCCGATGACCTTTCCAAACATAAAGTCATTTGGAGTCTTTTTTACTGGCTTTTTATTGCCATCACCTCCCTCTTGAATTTGAGACATTTCTTCAACCCAAAATACCTTAAATGTGAAAAAGCATGCTATTCTTTTAACTCAGGATAAGTAAGATCAATTATCTATAACTTTTTAAACTTGTTATTTACTTATTGTATTTTTTCAAATTCTATCATAACTTTTAATGAATTTTTTTTTATCATGTTTCAGATTATATGCATCATTTAGCCAATAAATAATTCATAACCCATGCATAATTTATCATAGCAAATTCTAATTAATTTTCAAAATTATGAAATAAGTTGCACAGCCCTCACTAATAGAGAGAGGTTATATGTATTTTTCCTGGTTTGTGCATCCATCTGTCCATTTCTCCTTCCATCCTGTATCACATTAGGTTAAAGTTTCAGTTTCTGGTAGTTTGTGGTCATATCAACTTGAAACTTTGGTACACATGTTCATAAAAGAAATTTAAAAATATATGACATAAGATTTTGACCCAGTACTCATGGTTTACTGAAGATGTGAAAGTGCCAGCTAGGCATAGTGTTCTATGGACATGATGGACACATATTCTTGTTTGTTATGTTTCAGATAGCTTGAAATTTAAAGAGACATTAGCTGCCAAATTCATCACCACCGATTGTCTCTAACTCTTTGATTCATAACATACTAAACTATGCTATTATAAAGACAATTCAATGGAAAATAAATATATTTAATTTTTTTCACATTTTATTTTCATTATTGCATGAAAGAAAAGAAAATATATCTGACTATATCTTTGAGACATAATTTAATGAACTAGTTTATGTTAAAATTATATGTAGATGTGAAGTCAATTTGTCTGTAATTACATAAATAGCACTAAGTTATTGAATCCTACTAACATATATATATGACACAGTTGGTACAAGTTTGCAATGGTACAAGTGTACAGTTGTACAATATAAAATTGAGAATGGAAATGGGGAATGTTTCAAAGAGACAACAACCTGACCAAAGAGCAGAAAACAGCCGAAGGCCACCAATGGGTCTTCAACACAGCGAGAAAATCTGACACCCGAAGGCGGGCTACAGCTGGCCCTTAAACAAATATTACTACTTGTTCAGTGAAAATAGACGTCACACTAAACTCATAAAACATAAAAATGAACTAAAATTTAAAAACATACAAGACTAACAAAGGCCAGAGGCTCCTGACTTGGGACAGGCACAAAAATGTGGCGGTGTTAAATATGTTTTGTGAAATCTCAACCCTCCCCTATACCTCTAGCCAATGTAGAAAAAACAAACACACAGTAATACACACAGTAAAACTCAGTTTAAAAGAAGTCAGAGTCCAATGTCAAAATAAGTAACAAAAGAAACTAAGCAAAATGACAACGATACATAAATTAATAAAGGCAGTTACTGACATGCCAGCTCCAGTTTGCAATGGTAAGGGTTGAATATAATTGTAATTATCCAAGATGCACTATGGACAATTAGGTCCAAGAACACATATAAAAAATACCTTTTGGCAAGAAGTTTTAATGCTTGGACAGAACTCCAAACTAAAGTAGCTGTTAAGAACGAATATTAATCAAATTCTAGTCAAATGGACACCTACTACCTAGTTAAATCGGCACCCGATGTAATCATTTTGGCATCCATGTTAAATATGTTGAACACATATTTTTTTCAGTATTTTAAGCAAAAATATTAAAATGAAGAAGGTGTTGTCCAGAAATATTGACTAATTAACAATTTTTGGGGGTTTCTGTATGTAATTTTTTCGTTCAACTTAATGTGTATACAAGTCCCTAGCTACATGGCCATAGATTCCACATGTGAAGCATTTTGGATCTCTTGGCAGACCCTTGAATCTTACCAAAAGGAGTTATCCTTGCAAGAATATTCTGCAGGGAATTGATTTATCATGCGAGCAATTCTTACTCCAGATTGAATTGTAGGGAAGGCTTTAAAAGTTGAAGAAAGTTTTATTATCTTGCCATATTGTAGAAATTTTCTATAAACTACATATGGTTTAATTTTGAAAAGTTTTCCCTTTTATTGCATCTTATTTTCTCATGATTAAACAACAGCTTAGGTAATGGCTTCATTGTTTTTTATTTAAGTTTTTCAACGAAAAAACATAAATAACTACCTGTAGAGAGTTAAAACAACAAACATGTTATTTATTTATTTGATAAAAGTTATTAATCAATTAATTGAAAGAAAATTAATCAAAACATCAGTCATAGAATGTTGAGAAAACTTTAAACAATTAACTTATGTATTCTAAGTACAGTACCATTCAAACTACTTAATAACATGTGATAATTTTTAGCGATGTAATGAATGATAAAATCCAACCCCAAAATTTAGAATTATTCATATGTTATATCAAATATTATTGGATGCAGAATTGACTTTAAACAGGTGCCGATTTGACAAGATGCTGATTTAACCAGATGACGATTTGACACTTTCTATAGGTGCTGATTTGACCAGGTGCAGATTTGACTTGAACCCTATGATTTTATCACAATAATAAACAAGAAGCGTTTTACATATTCTATTCAGCCCTAAATTTTCAATCTTATAATGCAAACTTCTGCCCATCAATTTTTTCTCAAGGAAAGCGTTGTAAAACAAGAGTCACATCCTTTGAATAGAGTACTTTCGTCAAGTATCAGAACATTATTTAGACATAATTTAAGGGAATGGACATTTGTGTGTGTGTATGTACAATGCACTGTTAATACAAGGTAATATCACCTAAGTTGCTTTTTGGTATGGAACAATTAATTACCAGTTAGCAACACATAGCTGTTATCGACAATTTAGTCTAAATACAAAGTTATTTCACTTTCTTTAAATTTTCAACCCGGCATCTTCTTATTTTTTCTCAAATCCGGAAGTTGAAAGTGAACCAAACGCAAGCGCATTTCAGTAAGATCTGTCATTAATGAACATCCTTAAATCATCGCCTTTTTCTGGTTTTGGTGAAATACATAGTGCAAAAAATAGTATGCAGATAAAGAATTACTTATAGTTCAACTTTTATTTAGGGTCGATATACAGAATTTCACAAAACAAATTTGTTTCTATTTATAGCATATACAACATCCGGGACATTCGTGAATGGCGGATGACAGAACCTATTTCCGGAATCAAATGTAAGGTTGTTTTTCCTTCGAAAAACAAGATCTAGAAAAGACAATAAGTTGTCACTTGTCTGATCTGATTGCCGATAAATTTAAAGTCATAGTTTATGTTAAAGATGACATAAATCATTGCAACATTATTAATTAACAGCAAATTTTGCCGCTTGTTACTGAGCAACATTACCTTATCTTGGGCAGTTTATAAGTCATTTGATTGTGGGATTGATTTGGTAGGTGTTGTAACAGGTATTAAGCTATTTATGACTTTAAAACCGAACCTATCCGGTTGGGTTGGCTTATACTATAGTATTCCAAATTGTAGCCTTCTTCAGAACAGTAAACACAAGTTGGTTAGCCCTGAAACCTGTTGCACCCGGAGTCGTTTCTCCACGATTATTGTTTGCCCGGGTCTCGTTGTTTTGCCCTATTCCTTTTAGTACTAGGTTTTATAACTCTATTTTTATTATTCGATGTTATTGTGTCAGTAATACGTATATGATGAAGTTGTTTATTTTAATCTTTATAGAATGTTTGCTAAAGGCAGTTTGTTGTAATAACAATTTTAGGGATTTCTACAGTTCTCTCAAGGGGCAAAAATGTCATGGCTCAATGACGAGCAAAGCGAAGTAATGATTTTTTATAGTTGAATTTTATGTGTTGGTGTCATGAATGGGAATAACAATTTTGACATTCATTGACAGAGGACGGATAATACATGTATCATACCTGCCAACTTTCATCACTGTTCACCCCAGGCCGATATGACGCTGTGGTCCCGCAGCGCCTTCAAAATATTTTCGTTGATCCTGGAGCGCCTTAATTGGCCGCTGTCCCTTAATACTTGATCCCGCAGCATGTTAATTTTCACATTTTAATTATAAATGTTGGTTAAAATTGTCAAGTTGCTGATCACCGCTGAGAGGTTGGTCAATGTTGCGCAATAACTGATAACTAGCAAAAGTCTCTGATTTACCTGTTCCAGCCTTATCAGACCATGTAATCAGGTTATAGCGTAAATGATCATCAAGAAGATAGATATTTTTAGTAGAAAATAAAAGTTTTTAAAATCTTCAGTGCAAAAATTGAAGAAATAGATCGCAAATACATTATATTTACGCATTGTCTGTGTGCGATCACTTGGCCATTAAAGTAACGAATTTTTTCATTGGTCGAGAAGAAGAATGTATTAAAACATGACCAATGAACATGATGAATACACGTGATAAATTTTAATACACATTACTAAAGAAATTTACAATGTAATTTATGAATGAGAGTATTTGTACGTCAAAAAAGTAAAATAAACTTTTATTAAAGATAACGAGGAGTGATTTATTTTATTAGAAAGTGAAAAATTGTTGCTTGCAAGTAAAATTCGTCTGTCAACTGTAACGTTTTAGAAATAAAATAATTTTTTAACATCGATAGTTAATTCGTTCATCGGGAAATATATGTACGGAATCGCTGCAGCATTTGTATAATGTCACTAGAACTTCACTGGTCTTAACTTTGACAAATTTGTCAAGTTTCGTTAATACTACCTGCCAAAGAAACGTTTTGACAATTATACACACAGAAGCGTAATGTCAAATAACGGACACTGGTCAGCTGGTTCATTACATTTTTTATACGACCGCAAAAATTAAAAATTTTTTGGTCGTATATTGGTATGACGTTGGCGTCGTCGTCGTCGTCGTCGTCGTTGTCGTCGTCGTCCGGCGTCGTCCGAAGACACATTGGTTTTCGCACTCTAACTTTAGTTTAAGTGAATGGATCTCCATGAAATTTCACCATAAGGTTCAATACCACAAAAGGAAGGTTGGGATTGATTTTGGGGGTTATCGTACCAACAGTTAAGGAATTAGGGGCCAAAAAGGGGCCAAAAATAAGCATTTTTGTAACTTTCAGACAATAACTTGTGTGTAAGTGTATGGATCTCTCTGACATTGTACCACAAGGTTCCATATCACAAAGGGAAGGCTGTAATTGATTTTGGGGGTAATTGCCTCAAAATTTTAGGAATTAGGGGCCAAAAAAGGGGCAAAAAACAAGCATTTTTTCTAGTTTCAGGACAATAACTTGTGTGTAAGTGTTTGGATATTTCTGAAATTGTACTACAAGGTTCCATATCACAAAGGGAAAGCTGGAATTGAGTTTGGGGGTAATTGCCAGAAACGTTTAGGAATTGGGGGCCAAAAAGGGGCCAAAAATAAGCATTTTTCTAGTTTCCAGACAATAACTTGTGTTCAAGTGTATGGATCTCTCTGAAATTGTACTGCAAGGTACCATACCACAAAGGGAAGGCTGGGATTGAGTTTGGGGGTGATGAATCATAAGGGGGTTCAAAAAATTTGGAAGGGGGGATTTTATTTTTTTTTCTTTTTCTTTTTTTCCTTTTTTTTTTCTTTTAAAATTTTCCATTTTAAGTTGGTTATTTCTGATTTATATTTAAAAGCAAATAATAATGATATGGTAGGAGATACACACCAAACAGGATGTGTAAATTATTATATAATAAGTATTGTGCAATAGCAAGAAATTTTCAATTGCACAGTATTGCACAATAGCAAGAAATCTTCAATTGCACAGTATTGCGCAATAGCAAGAAATCTTCAATTTAACAGTATTGCGCAATAGCAAGAAATATCCAATAGCACAATATTGCGCAATAGCAAGAAATTGTCAATTGTACAGTATTGCGCAATAGCAAGAAATATTCAATTGCACAGTATTGTGCAAAAGAAGATACTTCGTATAAATTGCTTATTTCTTGATCAATTTCAATGGGGTTTTATTCTTGAATTCTTGGGGTTCTTTAATATGCTGAATCTAACCGTGTATTAAGTTTTTGGATTTTGGGCCCCGTTTTTAAATTGGTCCACATTGAGGTCCAAAGGGTCCAAAATTAAACTTTGTTTGATTTCATCAAAAATTGAATTATTGGGGTTCTTTGATATGCCGAATCTAACCGTGTATTTAGATTTTTAATTTTGGGTCCCGTTTTTCAAATTGGTCTACATTAAGGTCCAAAGGGTCCAAAATTAAACTTAGTTTGATTTTAACAAAAATTGAATTCTTAAGGTTCTTTGATATGCTGAATCTAAACGTGTTTAGATTTTTTATTATGGGCCCAGTTTTCAAGTTGGTCCAAGTTGGGGTCCAAAATTAAACTTTGTTTGATTTCAACAAAAATTGAATATATGGGGTTCTTTGATATGCTGAATCTAAACATGTATTTAGATTTTAGATTTTTGGCCCAGTTTTCAAGTTGGTCCAAATTGGGGTCCAAAATTAAACTTTGTTTGATTTCAACAAAAATTGAATATATGGGGTTCTTTGATATGCTGAATCTTACCATGTATTTAGATTTTTTATTTGTGGACCCACTATCAAATTGGTTCATATTGAGGTCAACAGGGTCCAAAATTAAACTTTGTTTGATTTCATCAAAAATTGAATTATTGGGGTTCTTTGATATGCCAAATCTAACCGTGTATTTAGATTTTTAATTTTGGGTCCTGTTTTTTAAATTGGTCTACATTAAGGTCCAAAGGGTCCAAAATTAAACTTAGTTTGATTTTAACAAAAATTGAATTTTTGGGGTTCTTTGATATGCTGAATCTAAACATGTGTTTAGATTTTTGATTATGGGACCAGTTTTCAAGTTGGTCCAAGTTGGGGTCCAAAATTAAACTTTGTTTGATTTCAACAAAAATTGAATATATGGGGTTCTTTGATATGCTGAATCTAAACATGTATTTAGATTTTAGATTTTTGGCCCAGTTTTCAAGTTGGTCCAAATTGGGGTCCAAAATTAAACTTTGTTTGATTTCAACAAAAATTGAATATATGGGGTTCTTTAATATGCTGAATCTTACCATGTATTTAGATTTTTTATTTGTGGGCCCGCTATCAAATTGGTTCATATTGAGGTCAAAAGGGTCCAAAATTAAACTTTGTTTGATTTCATCAAAAATTGAATTATTGGGGTTCTTTGATATGCCAAATCTAACTGTGTTTTTAGATTTTTAATTTTGGGTCCCGTTTTTTAAATTTGTCTACATTAAGGTCCAAAGGGTCCAAAATTAAACTTAGTTTGATTTTAACAAAAATTGAATTCTTAGGGTACTTTGATATGCTGAATCTAAACATGTGTTTAGATTTTTGATTATGGGACCAGTTTTCAAGTTTGTCCAAGTTGGGGTCCAAAATTAAACTTTGTTTGATTTCAACAAAAATTGAATATATGGGGTTCTTTGATATGCTGAATCTAACCATGTATTTTGATTTTGGACATTGGACCATAATAGGTAAATTAAAAAAAATGAAGTTCTTAGACCACATTCTTTCTGTGTCAGAAACCTATGCTGTGTCAAATATTTAATCACAATCCAAATTCAGAGCTGTATCAAGCTTGAATGTTGTGTCCATACTTGCCCCAACTGTTCAGGGTTCGACCTCTGCGGTCGTATCAAGCTGCGCCCAGCGAAGCATTTTATTTTGTTTTAAAAAGTTGAATACCAAACATCTTAAACATAATCAATTTTAATGCTGAATCACATGTTCTTTGCAAAGAAGAAATGGGTTAAGCGAAAGGCAGATGATGTTTTCAACCCTAAAGGATAAAGACTGAGGAACAGGCTGTCCAACAAAATTACAAACTGTCTTGTTACTATATCTCTAGAAGGAACAGAGAGTACAGAAATAAATATTTCTGAAGCTGTTCAGCAATGAAAGGCCCAGAAGAACATTAG